TCTGCAGCAGCAGCAAAGGAATGTTTTTGCAACTCAGAGCCTTTTCAGAAAGAGACCCAGATTAAGAGAATGTGCAGTCCCAAGATGGGTGGGGGAGGAGGGAAGAGATCCAGGGTAATCACACCTTAAAATATCTCAGGATACATCTAGTAGGTTAGAAACTTATAGCTTTAGTTTGGCAAGATTCTGTCCATTAGGTGCAAGTAAATACAATTTTGAACTCAACTGGATCTCACTGTCTCATCTCTGGGCTTGGGCCTGATATAGGTTGAGACTGATCAAAGACCAAGGAGGACTGAAAAACCACTGGGCTGAACACTTTTTCAACTTACTCAATAGGCCATCCAGATTTGATCATGGTATCTTGCAGCAGATTCCTCAGCTGCCAGTCTTGAATGTCTTAGACCACGGGTGTCAAACTTGCAGCGTCACATTTCCATCATGTGATGTTTTGTGATGTTTTTCCCATTTGCAGAGCTGGGGTGGGTGTGGCCTCTGCATGATGGGTCCAGCCCATGAGCCACCAGTTTGACACCCCTGTCCTAGATCTTCCTTCTTCTACTGATGGATCAAGAAAATGATCTCATGTAGATGACCTCTAATAAAGCAACAGGCCAGGATAGCTTTCCTGCTGAGATCTGCAAAACACTAAACCCAAATACCTTGCAGGCATTCCAAAATGACTTGGAAGACATTTGGTCCACAGAGGATATACTTCTTATAGTGGCTCTCTATAAAAATAAGAGAAGCAATTTAAACTCCAGAAACTGCTGAGATAACTCCTTGTCATCCATCACAGGCAAGATCTTTGCCCATATTCTCCTAAGCAGGCTTGTCATTGCCTCAGAAAGAAATCTCCAGAGGCACAGTGTGGTTTTCAGCCAGAAAGGAGTACAGCAACATGATATCTGCCATGAGGCAAGTCCAGGAGAAGTGCTTCAAGTAGAACAAGCCTCTTTGTCTTCATTATCATGAGAAAGGCATTTGACACTGTAAGCAGAGAGGCTCTCTGGATCATTCTGAGATATTATGGGTGCTCAAGGAAATTTTTGAAGTTGATTCATCTATTCCATGATGCAATGACACGACAGGTACTTTACATTAGCTGTATTTGCCATTTCCAATGGTGTAATAAAGGGCTGTGTGCTAGTCCCAGTCCCTCTCAATCTGTTTTTTTCTTACATATTGTTTCATGCTGCCCAGGGTCTGAAGAAGGGAGTGTACATCAGGTAGTTACTGAACAACTCTCTCTTTGACCCTTGCCTCTTGAATGCACAAAGCGTCCCTTACAGTCATTCAAGAAATCCTCTTTGCTAATGCCCAAGTGCTCCTGGCACACAAGGACAGTGATCCTCAGTTGATGCTAAACAAATTCTCAGAAACTGTTAGCTGTTTGGCCTATCAGCCTGAACAAAACTGAATTACTTTACCAGCTCAATTCATCTTCCTGGGCTCTACAATCAACCAAAGTGGTGACTGCAGCCCTAAGATCAAAAGATGTATAGCACTTGGAAGAATTGCAATGTCTGCCATAAGATCTGGAATATTAAAGATATCAGCCTCAAAACCAAATGCAGATTAGTTAATGCAATAATTTTTCCAATTGCTACTTATGGCTATGAAATTTGGACTCTGAAAAAGGCAGACAAGAGGATGTCTATGGAGATTCTCAGTCATTCAGGTCATGGTTGTCCCAAAGGAACAAAGGAAGTCAGAACTAAAGAAGTTTCTTGGATCAGAAGTTAAACGTCTTCAAGGAAAAACAAAGGAAGTCCAGTTGCCTTTTGAAAAAGCACCTTTGGAGCAGATAGGAGAAGGGTGGATGCCTTTGAACTGTGGGGTTGGTGGTGACTTACACATCCCATGGATTGCAAAAATAACAAAGAAATCCTAGACCAAACCTCACCAAAAATATCACTTGGAGCCAAGATCGCCAAACAGAAGCTGTCATACTTTTGTCATGTCATGAGAACTGACACACTTGAAAAATCAATCATGCTGGGAGTAATCAATGGAAAAAGGAGAAAGGGCTGCCCTAGTACCCTCTGGCTGGACACTATAAAGGATGACACCAGGTAGACCATGACAGATCTGAAGGAGGTGGTGAGAGATAGAGGGTTATGGAGTGTGCTGATCTATAGAGTGGCCAAGGGTCGGATGCAAGTGAATGGTACATGACAATAAGCCTTCTATCCTAGTGACTGGAATTCTTTTCCTGTGCTTATTCCTTATGGAATGGAGTATAGCACATGTGTTTCTTATAAGTACAGCTAAGTGCATTGCTTACCTGAAAACAAAATTTCTATTATTTTGTTTTTAAATTGAAATTTGCTAAATCTACTCTTTGAACATTTTGAGCATAGTTCATAACATTGAAAGATAATTAATATTTTCTTGAGGAGGTTGACAACAGAATTTATATACTTGAAATATTTTTTTTTATTCCCAGTTTTTTTCTTGGAATGCAAGAATTCTTGTTCCTTCATTTGGTTGACATTCTGCCTGCTTCATATGGAACATCACTGACCTTTTAAATACCTTTAGAAGACAGTAGTATGACACTTGAATTTAAAGAATGGGAGGAGGGCAGAAGCAGCTAGATTTCAAAAGAAAATTCATGTAGAAGTTTCTTTTCTTTGAATTTCAGATAAAGTGAAAAGGGATATTTTTGGATCCTGCACCTTTAAAAAAAAATAATGCCAATGAAGAAAACCATTGGATGACTCTTATAACACATTTTATATAATTGTCAGTTTAAACTAAAGGATAATGCTTGTTGCTTATGATAAGGAATTAATCATATCCTAATTAAAAAGTATTACAGTTGTCATAAACAAATAATTCAGCTTGGTAGTAAATTGCAACATAACTGCTTGGTCAAGCACAAAAAACCATTATCGTACAGCTTTTTATTCACTGATTAAGCCTGGCTTTCCTGTTGTAATAGGGAAAAATTCTTGAATTCTGCACAAGAGTTCAATTTAGATTAGGCACATGTCATGTATTATGATATAGTTGGAACAAGTAAATATACATACTTAAACACTGAGTATTTGAAAAGAAATGAGAAAAACAGCATTTCAAGCTTGAGGTTGTTAACAGTTAAAATAGCAATTTATGCTTTCCATGTCTCCCCAAACTTCATGAATAGCTTTAGCCTAGACATAAGGCTAGACTAATATGCGGAACCACCTTACATCTCTTGTATAATTGTGAAGAAAAAAAGACATTCTCACTTTTAATACCATGCACCAATATCAATACTAACAGAAACTATGTATTAATATGTCAGTAAATTAAAAAGTAAAGCAAAATAATGGAGCTATATGCTGTATCTGCATGTGTGAAATGGCTTTGGTGCTGAATTGAAAATTGATTGACCTATTTTTTTCCCCTGATGGTAAGGTAAAAAGGTTTCTTCAAATTGGAGGTGATGCCACTGTATTGAAGATTAATACTTTTGAAACCTATAAAAGATTTAAGCAAAGCTGGCACATAGCACTCTTCATTGATTGACATAACCTCCAGTTGCTTCAAAGAAAGTGCTACTCATTGAGTTTTCTCAGATGCAATGTATTTTTCACAAATTAATATCAACTTTAGAAGAAGAAACTAAGTTACATTTACTATTAATACAATTATAACAACAGTGCCGGGCACTTTAGTGAATTCTTTGTGAGGCTCCTACTGACCACAGAATGATGGCTGAGCTAATCAAACATTATTCTACACAGTGTTTTGAATTATTTGTGTCACAAAATGTGAAGGATTGCTTGTAAAGATATATGAATTTCCATTTGAGCTAGGCTCATCAGTTGTCCTACAAATAGATCAAATCTGTGTTGGTTTTATATATACTCGTTCATGAATTTGCTCTAATTCCTGCATGATTCTTTATGGACCTTGCCATACATTTATTGTCATATAAAACACGATTTGTTTGCTTTATGCCCAATTGTATATGCAACTTTTCCCAATATAAAGATTTCTTCACGTAGCTTTCCTTAATACATTTTATATTCATTTCCCCCAATATTTGAAAAAAAAAAAGCTTATTAGTCTGTTGAGTGCAGACCAAACAGTCAGGATTCCTAATCGGTTGCCATGGTAGGAAAATCCTTGCCCTAGGCTCAGGCAGAGAAATTTTACTTTAATAATAGGAAGGGAACGTCAGATAATAGTAAAAGCATTTAGAGTTCTATACTGCTTCATGGTTTTCCAGCCTTCTCTAAGTGGTTTACAGAGTCGGTATATTGCCCCGAACAATCCTAATTTTATTGACCTCAGAAGGATGGAAGGCTGAGTCAACCTTAAATCGGTGAGGATCAAACTCCTGGCAGTGTTTAAATTCTGCTTATTTTTACTGAGAAATCAGGCTAACCAATATTCTTGTGTGCCCAAAGCAGGATAGTATACCCTGCTAAATTCCTTAGAGGGAAAAAATAGGATAAATATACTATAAGTAAAATAAACATGGAGCAGTTCTTGTATACTGCCAATTGTCAGTGCTTTGAATGGCTACTAGTATCTATATCTGTTTAGAAATAAAATATGCAAGAAGAAAGTTAAAAAACAGACTTTTTCTAATTGCACATTCTTTGATTTATTTTCAGATTATTCTGTTTTCCTAAAAAATATTGCACTTGTATATATTTTACTTTATTCTGTAATATGTTTTCAGAAGTTTAAAATATTAAGGTGAATGATGTAATTAGGAGATGCAGTGCAGAGTTCTGACTGGTCCAGTATGAGCAAGTGAATATAACTTCTAATAACAATAATTGCTTCAAAATTGTTTTGCTTCTTAGCAACAAAATACTGCCAGCTGATCATAATCAAGTTCTTAATTTTATTACATGATTACTTAGGTCTCACAAATGAAATTTTCTTCTTTCTCACTCAGGAAACAGAAATGCTTCATGTTCTTATCACTTTTCTACTTTTTATAGTAATCAATACACACTCATACTGGCAAAAGTATAAAAAATCATAAGAATATGTTATATTTATGTCTCGTGATTTTATTTACTGGAAAAATGATCTTTTACTGGAGAGATGTTTGTTTTGACTTGATCCTTCAGTTGGGGTCATTTTTGCTATGTAATAAATAAAGACACATATGAATCTAATGCCAGCTGAGTCAGAAAATCAACATTACCTTCCTTTATGCATCTTGCTTGGTTCTAGCATTCAGGTATTCTCTAAATTCCTTAATCTCTTAACACATGGACAAATTTGACCACAATCTGAAGTTCTAGTTCAGATTCTGAACTAGAAAACTGTTGTTAGGGTTAGACAAGCTACTGTTGAATATTTGGAAATGTTACTCACTTTGGGTGTGCAAGTAAGTCCTTGAATATGGAATCATTCCAAATTCTTTTATTAGATTTCTCACAATTTAATTTTGAAAGAATAGCTTTACATTACTTTGTTCATGTAACTTTTCATCTGATTCTTTTAAATTTGGTGCATGCAGATTTGAAGAGAAGGGAAGAGAAAAAGAAACAAAATTAAGAAAATATATTTATATAACTAGGGCCAAATAGCTTAACACTGTCAGTAAACTTTAATAAAAAAAGGATAGTAACTCTATTTTGTTTATGTCAAACCATAAAAATCCCTTTTCATTTTGTTACAGTTCCCTATCCAAGAGGGAATGGGTGAGCTTTTTCTATTCAAACATTCACACCTCCAGGAAAGGTCTCTGAACAAACATGAGAAATAGTACAGGATTTCCCCCCTCAACAGCCTTCAAGTTTCTAGGTTCTATAATCTCCCAAGATTTGAAATGAACACTTAACATTAGAACTATCATTAAAAAGGTAAAACTGCATCAACTCAGAAAGTTCAGACTGCCCAAGGAACTGCTGATACAGTTCTACAGAGGAATTGTTGAATCTGTCTGTACTTCTATAACTTTCTGGTTTGGTACAGCAACTGAACAGACAGGACAGGTACAGAGTTCAATGAATAATTAGGACTGCAGAAAAAAATCAGTCAGAATAGAGCTGGAAGGGATCTTGGAGGTCTTCTTGTCCAACCCCCTACCCCAAGCAGGAGACCCTATACCATTTCAGATAAATTGCTGTCCAATCTTTTCTTAAAAATCTCCAGTAATGAAATTGCAACCAGCCTGCCTTCCACTGAGGACAGGGGTGGTATTCAGCTGGTTCACACTGGTTCGTGTGAACCGTTGGCAGAAATTTGGCCAAGGTCACCAAACTGGTAGCGATGGCCGGCTAGCCATACCCCGAACCAATCCCCCAGTCATCGCTCGCTCGCCCTGCCTGCCATGTTCATTGTTGCATGTTCTTCATGCATGCACATCCTATTGCCTTAAAGTCCAATGGGATGCGCATGTGTGAAGAACATGGCGGTGACAGTAGCAGCAGCTTTTTCTGTGACTTCCGGTACTTTTTAGTGGCCTGCAGCCAGCTGCCACAACCACAAAGCAACTCTCAAAGAGGTAGCAGCTGGGAGGCATATTTGCCAGCTGCTTTCCAGCAGTGGCAGCTGGATGGGGGCTGCCAAAAACTCCAGTCAGCTTGCCTTCTGGACTCTGGACTAGCCACCGCAGAAGGTAAGCAGCCTGAACAAAGACGCGGTGGTGGGAGAGGAAATGGGGCTAGGGCCAGGGCTGCTAAAGGAGGGGAAACAGGGGCACCTGGCGAAGGGAGAGCAGGGGTAGATACGTGGAATTTCCAATCATTTTCCTACCTTTTCCTGTGGGTGTGGCTAGGAGGGGGGGTCATGTGACTGAGAGGTCATGGGTATGAGTGATGTCAAGTTGGCCACACCCACTCAGTCACATGCCTCCCTACCTAGCCACGCCCACTGAACTGGTAGTGAAAATTTTTGAAGCCCATCACTGATTGAGGACCTATGTACTGCATCAGTGAGATAGAGGGCTGAGAAAATATCTATAGACCCCCCACATCCTGGACAATGCAATGCCACTATAGGGCATTGCATTCCAAAAGAACTGGACACAGAGACAGTTTTCCCCCCTCATGCCATCATTCTGCCGAACACCTAATTCCCACAGCATTGTCTTATGTCTAAGGATATTTACCCATGTAGTAGGGCTGTATTACAATTATCCTTCTCATCTTTCCCACTACCTTCCCCTATTGGTATCTTATGATTATATTACTTTGTTATTTGTATGTACACTGAGAGGTTATGCACTGAAAATAAATTCCTTGTATGTCCAAACACACTTGGCCAATAAATAAATATTCTATTCTGTCTTGCTTCTACATTTTCAACCTAACATTGAAAAATGTAAGACCATGATGAATGTTATGAGGGAAAATATCAAGCTATTCCATCCACGTTTGCCTGCCTACCCTTTGTAAAAGATTATTTTTGGATTGTTTATTTGGTAAAAATACTTGTGCTACTGTAGTCTGAAAAAACAATTAGACGAATATTAACTCATTTGGTCACCTTTTGATATGTCTAGATTACAATTCCTCCTGACATAAAGCAGCCTTCATCATAAACTAACAATTACATGACACCTTTATAATGGAGCTATTAAATGGTTCAGTGCTGTATTGCCAAAGATCAAGAGACTTGATTCCAGACTAGGAACGATAACAAAGCCTAATCTATTATAGATACAATCCTATAATAGCATGATTAAATAAGACAAATTATTTCTTTTTTTATGCTGTTATATTGCATTCATACCATGCAGCCTTGAAAGGTATGACTAGAGCTGACAGATGTGACATGGTTCATTGATCTGTGCAATCCACAATCATATTTCTAAGTTATATAAACTAAGTTATATAAAAATGATGAAAGAAAATGGAGTTATACAGTTCTTGTTTCTGTGGTCATTTTAAATTCAGCAAAAATACTCAAAAGAACCCCCCAAAAAACCCTACATGCATATTAGGAACAAATTTAATTTAATTACATATGCTAACATGGTGTGTCTAGACTCACGAAACAGACTAAAGACATAGCAGGAACTATGTGGCTCCCACCCTTGGGAACATTTTATGCCCGGAGGTGAGATTAGCCCAATACCCTCCTGACCTTTCACAAAAGCCTGAAAACCTGGCTGTGCCAATTGGCTTGGGGCCCTAATGGGAGAATATCATGCTGGAAATGGTTGATCGACTAATAACCTCCCCCCCCATATATTCTGCTCCTTTCCTCCCCATCTTTTAGTTTTAGTTATAATCTGATATTCATTGTGATTGTATTGTATTTATATACATTGGTGTGTGTGTGTATATATATATATATATATGGCTTTATTTTGATTTTGTAAGCAGCCCAGAGTCACCAGAGTGAGATGGGGGCAAATAAATTTAATAAATATATAAATAAAAATAAATAAAATAAAAACTGTTAACAAAGGTAGGAATAGTTGCATTTACAAATTACTAGAAGAATAAAAAGTGATCTCAGAAAAGAAGAGGGGGCATTGAGACAAACAAAAACAAAATTTGAAACCTTTATACCAAAATTTCAATATCTATTGAATATTATCTATTAAAATGTTACTGGACATTTATGACATGGAATAAATGAAAAATTGTATGATAAAGTGAATGCAAAACTTTAAAGAAATAATCAGAGTACAATAATGGGATGCTATGGGGGGAAATCAATAAAATCAATGAACAGTTACAATTTAAGTGAAAATTTGTACAAAATGTTTTATTTTCACCAATAATTATCAAGATAGACAAATCAATTTATAATAAATGTTGGAAAGCTTTTAACATAGAAGAAACATTCTATAAAATGTGAGGATTATGTAATAAAACTTCAAAAATACTGGAAAGAAATGCATCAAAATATTCAGTAAATCCTAAAAATAAATTTTGATCAAAAACCACAAATATTTTTATTGGATGCAATCCTGGAAAACATAAATGAAAAATATCACAATTTAGCAAGATATATGTTAAGAGCTACAAGAAAACATTGGCACAACATTGAAAAAAGAGAAATTGTGCTGACAGTATCAGATTGGGAGACCAATAAGAGTTAATATTCAGCAAAGGCAGAAATGATGGTATATATCAATAATAGAAGTCTAACCAAAGTTAAGAAAAAGTGGTCTTATATATATACACATTGCACAACAGGGTGAATTTAAACATTTGGGATATGGTTCCTAGGAAATATAAATCCAATAAAAAATAATAGATGGAAGGACTTAAAACTTTAACATTCAATATGTAGTATAAATATCTTGGTTTGAAGGGGAGAACCAGAAAGTTTTTCCACAGTGTTTTAATTTATGTTTACTAGTTGCTTCTTTATGTTTTAATTCTATTGTCTACTGTCAGTATCTAATGGTAGACTTCTTTGTTTTTTGCTACCTTTACAATAAAAATATCTTTCAAACTAACACAAAAACATATATTTTGGTAATAGTAAGATAAAGTGATTTAAATGAAATCAGGCAAACATATTTTAATTTGTTTCATATACCAATGTTTGTATAAATTAAAAAATGAGATAATCATTCTAATTGGAAAAGGCAGACTCTGATCCATAAGCCAGCCCTGGCCTGCACTGATGCTTGATGCAGAGAACAGTGTACCTAACTATCCCAGTCAGTGTTTGAAATTGTCAGTTTTTGATACGTGACTTTCACCTTGTCCCAAATTGCTTGTAAATGCCTAGGTAGTTCAAAATAGTGAATAAAAGATATAATAGCATTAAAGCCTGTGTGGGCACAGCACTGTTTCCATTTATTGCCACTTGTACATAAAAATGTAGTTATTGGGTAGTTGTTACATGAACTAGTCTCTCTCTCTGTGTCTCTCTCTGTCTCTGCATGTATTTATTTCAGATTCTAAGATTTTATTATTTGGATCCTCAGATTTATCTATTACAACTTTCTAGATACTCAGGAATGAACTATATTTCAGTGTAAACCATATTCCTCTTTATTCAATCATTTGGTTTAATTTATGTCCATTTCTTAAACTTTGTAATCAAAACAACTTATTACATTAATTTATTTGATTTTTTATGAGTTTTAGTTTTTTAAATGTGATTTTTTATATTCTGTAAGCCGCCTTGAGTTGCCATATGCGAATAGGCAGCAATATAAATCTAATAAATAAATAAATAATAAACTTACTAGTAGCTATTTTGTAAAAATATTCCTAAAATTGGGATGCACGACCACTAAGGAGTTGAAGAAAATGCTTCCTTTTTTACAGCTGTAATTTTTGTGATGATGTAGCATTATAATTTTTAGGAAATTATTCCATTAATAATGTTGACTTTACTAGCACTATATAAAAAAAACATCTGCTGTGTATTATTAATATACTGTATTACCTTTCTCCTCCTCTTGCAGAACTTACATTTCAAATGCAAAATTACAGAAGGCAGAATCATTTATATTAACAGCCACTAGAGGTCTGCTAGTATTATAAAAAAGTAAAGATTTCCCTGCCAGTCCTATATACTTAGTCAATAAGTATTGATTTCTGCAACTATTAAGAATCTCCTAATTTATTAAAAAGACATTCACTCTTAAATGTGAATTGATTGCCTTTTTGTGCCTAATATTTTGTGTACCATGACCCTAATTATTTTTATTCAGGAATATATGAATTCCAGGAATTTCTGTTTGCTTAGATATAGGCCTCTCTATTTATCCTCATAGCCTTTCACAGCCGCACAGAGCAGAGATAATTTTTAGGCATACAGAAAGTATCAGTAACAAATAATGCATTTGCTTATCTTAAAAACTCACATCTCCAAGTTTAGTTTGTAACCCTTTTGAGGTAAATACATATATTAATGAAATTATTTTAAGTTGCTATAAATCACTTTATGCATAGATTGAATTATTTCAAAATATCAATGCAACATTATGTTTAGCAGCTTTGAATATAATCACACAAAGAAAGTATGAGAAAATCTGGTAAGTAAGTAATTAATCTTCCATGTGATTTTTTTTGTCAGTGCAAAATCTGTGAAATAATCTGAAGTTTTAACTTACTTGTTTTGTCAGCTTTCTATTTTCCCATACAGAGTTAGATCAAAATTTACTGATCTCATGGTCCACAAAGTTAACTGATAAGCCAACATAGACATGTTCAATGATGTTACACAACAGCTCTTGTTGTCATAGTAATTGCTGTGCTCATAATGTTCACTTTGTATTGTCAGTAAGCCAAAAGCAGGTCTCTACTCTGAGTGCACTAAAGCTTGGAAAACTGATCATGAACATTCATAACTAGCCTTTCAGTTGTATTATTAATGGATTATTAGTTACTACCTTCTGTCTTCAGTGCCAATAGTTTTTCTGCCTCAGAAGCAATTGGTAACGTATGAAATAAGTTTACGTATTTTATCCTACAGACAACTACGTAGCACTGTTTTAGGCTTTTACAGTTGTACAACTGAAACATGCAAAATAGAACACAAGTTTCTTGTGTTAAAATGGCGGCACCCGTGGATCTTGAGTTGAAAAAGGCATTTTCTGAACTTCAAGATAAGGTCGTTGAAACCCAACAAAAGGTGAAACTGGCAGATATACAGATAGATCAGCTGAACAGAACAAAAAAGCATGCACATCTTGCAGACACAGAGATCATGACTTTGGCTGAAGAAACGAGGATGTATGAAGGTATAGGACGAATGTTTATCCTTCTTCCCAAAGAAGTAATTCACAATCAGCTCTTAGAAAAACAAAAAATAGCAGAAGAAAAAATTAAGGACCTGGAGCAAACGAAATCATATTTGGAACAGAGTGTAAAAGAAGCTGAAGATAATATCCGGGAGATGCTCACAGCTAGAGGAGCACAATAAGTTCCTTGTGTTTGGACTGAATAGTTGAAAGCAGACATTTTGAACCACTATTGTTAAACATTCAAAGATGTGAAGAACTTGCCTTATGTAACTAGCTGCATCATGTCAACCCAACCTTGTAGTTTGATGCACTAATAAACTACTTAATTTATATACCAAAAAAAGAGTTTTTTTTCTTTTAATCTATACGCAAGCTATGATCTTGAGTTCAAAGAAGTTCATCATATGTGTAGGTTAAGGAAAAACAAAACAGAACAAAACTACAGAAGGTTGTGATATGCTGAAAAGGTCATATAGAATAAATAAAAGTGTATGAAGAGATTTGAGACTGGCTTGAGGCCTGGGGGAATAGAGTTCTCTAATGACTAGTGAAATGTAGCTATTGGAAAGATGAAAGAAAGAGGTTAATCCCAGTCTTCTTTTCTGTGAGGGTCTTTGGTGCTCTCTCAGCTTGCTTGTTTTCTTAAAGATATTTCATTACCCAAACTAGAAACAACATCAGTGTTTCTGTTTCTGTAAATTTATCCTTGTCAAATGTGAAGGAGAAACAGGACAGGCTGATGTCCAGGAATTCAGAAATAACAGAAGTTTTATGACATAGCCAGGCCAGTCACTCTAATGTGACCTGGGAAATTAAATTCTTAATATCTCTCATTCCATATTAAGCAGTAAGCATCTGAGTAGCAATTGATAGGAATGCCGGAACCAAATGCAAAAGTTTGGTATAAATTAGGATTCCACTGCTAGGTTACTTTTCCAAACACAACCATCATTTATTCCACGCTAAGAAGGACAACGAAGTTGATGTTGCTAAAAAAAAAAGTAGGAAACATTTATACATATTGGACTGTTGAAAGTTCTTTCTGAAGGAGTAAATATTGGGATTCATACAGTTTGATTTATGTTTGTTTTTCCACACAACTCCTTTTCCAGCTCCTTGAAGATTTTGCTCAAGAAAATTGAAATTAAGTACATTTCTACATTTATGGTTATGATTATGGAGCAACCCAACTATTGTTCTGTCAAAATAATGGCTCCACGCTTCTGCAGAGTCATTTGCAATAGTGAGGCCAGTAAACGCAAATTCATCCACTCAATAAAATAACAACAAACAGTTAAGCAATGCCTAGATAATATTGTGAAGGTTATTTAAACCCCTAGTGTAGTAATGATCCTCCATCACTCTGGGTAGCTATGCTCACCATTGATTTTGTCAATTTTACTTTTTCAGACAACAAATTTGCATAATACAGCAAGTTGCTGAAAGCATTGCTCCAAAGTACTAATGATGAATCATGCTTTTTTTCATTAGTAATAGTGAGTTTATAATTGTTGAATTGTATGAATTATAGACTTTCATGAACAACTGACTAATCATTTCATAGATTCCATTTCTGACTTTCATTCCCACCAGAGATGGGATTCAAATCCCGGTGCTACCAGTTTGCTATCAAAACTTCTGCACATGTGCAAAGCGTTTTTGATGAGGTCTGGGTGGGTGGGTGGAGCCTCCCGCTGCCACCGCCCTTACCGGTAGAAACCCACCCGATTCCCACATTCCCACAGGATTTTAGAAATGTATATCATCAGTGGTAGTAAGGAGTGTGGTTTGCTGTCAGTTTATATTTTAGTGGCTTGTCTTGTCAGTGTTGGTGGGGGTGGTCTTATAGATTCTTTGCTTGGGCTGTTTGCTTTTGCCTTTTTGTGCAGTTTCTTGATTGGGGTATTGCTTACTTGTTTGTTGGTCTGATATTAACCTTGAAGTTAATCTATGATGATTAAACATAGATTAATTCATCATAGATTAACTCCAAGATTAACATCCGATCAACAATCAAGGAAACAATACCCCAATCAAGAAACTGCTAAAGAGCCAACAGTAAATAGCTCAACCAAAGACTCTCTAAGACACCCCCACTAACACTGACAGGGCAAACCACAACAGGACAAACTACCCAGAATATAAACTGACAGAGAACCACACTCCTTACTAGCACTGATGATGTTACCTAATTTGGATAATGAAACATCTGCAAGAAAACAAAGCAAGCTCAGAGAGCATCAAGGACCCCTCATTTCAACCCAAAGCTACAAATATTCTCCTTTATCGGTATCTTAAAGTGTATCCAATCAGCATGTGATCAATGCAGATGTACAAGCATATGACCCCACACTGAAGTTTTGGATACTTTTCAAGGGAAGGCTGCACAAGGAGTGTGCTCAATGGCTAAGATTGAGAGACATCAGTGTAGATGATCTTCTCAAAATCTGATTGGTTTAGGGAGAGCTACAGCTAAGACATCAATTGTACAGGTGCACAAATGCTAATCATTGGAGCCATCATTTGCAATGATGACGGCACATCAGAATAATAGTGCAAATGGCCTAGGCCTGTGATGGCAAACCTATGGCATGTGTGCCATAGGTGGCCCGCAGAACCCTCTCTGCAGGCATGCCAGCTGTCACCCCAGCCCAGCTCCAGCTGGTCTTTGGGTCTTTGCTGCACATGCAGGGGGTGCAGGTTGGTGGTGCAGGAAGCTTTCCAGGACCAAAATGGGGTGCGGGGGGACCTCATGTGGTGCCCCTGCGCCCCGTTTTGGCTTCCAAGTTGGTACAGGAGGCTTTCCAGGTGCAAGCCTCTTGCACCAACTTGGAAGCCAAAACGGGATGTGGGGGGCTGGGGCTCATGCGTGGGGGACACGCGTATATGCATGGGGGCAGGGTGCATGCATGGGATGAGGCGTATGTGCAATGGGGGTGCTCACATTACATTTTGGGGGTTTGGGCACACGCTCATGCATACACATTCGCGTGTGCGTGCTTTGGGCACTCGGCACCAAAAAGGTTAACCTTTACTGGCCTAGGCCATCTCTTTTTTAACAGCAAAGCTCAGGCAGGGCACTGGCAATATTGTCAACAGATAACAGGGGGAATTGCATGTTGCACTCAGACAATAATGCAAATCCATCAGATGTAGAATTGGACCATTTTAATTTGCCTCCACCTCTGCAGAAGTTATGGTTTGTAGGATACAAGAGTATAACATAACATGGAGGAATGTATAATATTTAAAAAAGGAGCTATATTGCATTCAAAATAAAATCCACTCAGAGTTGGGCCAATATCTGTGTAAACAATACTTTAATATATCTGTCAAATGTATTTCCAACTTATTAATCATCCTTAGAAAAATGAATAGATAATCCCAGGCTGCGGTAAACTTAGGATAATTATATTTTAGACGAAGAACCCATAGTCCTGGTTCAAGGTTGATACAGCCTCCCTGTAATCTTTTCAACTAATGTCAGTAGTCCCACTGTTAGAATGTGTTGTCATGGCAACATCTCTTACTTCGCGCAGGAAAAATTAGCTCTTACTGTGCAGTCGAGAAACATAGAGGGAGTCAAGCTAATCCCAGGGTGAAATGTAAGAAAAAGGTTGGACTTCGCCGAGGGGATGCTGTATCAGCAATGCTAGAATTGACCTGCCACCGATTCTGATATTTAAGTTAAAGAGCAGAATTCACAGTAAGTGACAGCTCCTCCAGAGTGTGTTATTGGCTCAGAGCTTTCTAAGGCTTGTTGAAGAATGTCCCATACCCGCAAATGACATTAGGCAGCTCTGTGTGGTATATCTGTATCTTCACTAGTTTAGATGTCAAGCTTTATTTAATACAGAAACTGTGGGAAAAATTGTCTCAAACTAACCATCAAATACTATGCACCTATAAGATTTATTTATGAGTTTATTAAAAGCCATGACATTGAGGCTGAAAAGGAAGTTAGGAAATCTGGAGAAATGAAAACCGTACTGCAGCTTATAAAAACATTGAGCAATCCATGGAAGTTTAGACATTATTTTATTGTTGATATATGGACTTCATTTAGAACTCTCAAGAAAATAAGGGGACAAGTAAATTGTAAGGAAAAAAAATAGAATAACAATCTCATGTGTGATGTCTTTCTGATGCAGTATAGTACAGTATGTAAAACATAAACACATCTTTCCATTATGTAAGTAGCTGGAAGGAAATTAAATATTTGCTATAATTTTTCAAACTGTTATGTTTAAGCAGTCTATTTTACAACCTATAGAAAATGATCCATTTCGCATTCAATCATAAACTATATAGCAAGCTTTAAAAAGAATGGGGGAAAATGGCAAGTATAAAGTACTAAGCTTTATGCAAGCTTTTAGTGCAAGTCACATTAAAAAGGGATATGCTTGTGGATTATCCTGATGAGGTTTGCATAATGGTGTGTAAATGTGTTTTTGTGGTGACAGAGGTGAAATATGTATGAGATATGAAATAAATATTGTGCTTCTGAGTTCTATGTTCTTCCTTGTAGCATAATACAAAATTTATACTTGTAGAATTGAATAAAGACAGTGAACTGAAAATGAGGTTAGTTTTCTAGCTATCATATCTTTACTGCTGTAATCAAATCAATATAGCCCATCACATGCTTTTTAAGTAACTTCTGTGTGATTCTAAAAAACTCACAGGCAGTAGGTATACTTTATCAAAGATTTATACTTTTTAAATTGAACTCTTCTATCTCTTGTACAAGAAGCTGAATTGAAATATTTTTTTAAAATTAGAGCAGAGCAGAGATCAGAGCTTTTAAATGAGAAATCTAATAGTTACAGAAAACAGTATAAACAGGTATAATAAAACTAGTGAAACATTTTCCACAGTGCAAGGATTTATATTAGCAGTTGCTGCTGACAGAAAATACATTAAAAACCTAGAAAGCAGAATCCAGATTCCAGAAAGCTATGAGCATCATAGTATCACCAAGGACGATGTAATATCTGCCCTGCCAAGGTGTTAATTTAGCTTTTTGTCTGGGTCTTGGGTAGTAGTTGTTGAATTGAAATGTGGGTTAGACAATATCACCATCTGGCGAATTTGCAACTGGCTGACTCAATGTATAAACCAGGGATCTGCAACCTTAAACACTCGAAGAGCCATTTGGACAAAAAAAAAAGGCAAAAATAGATCTATTTTATCCATCATCCCTTGCCCATTTTAATACTTCATTTCTTATTTGTTTTTTGGCTTTCTTCCCATACTCCTCTCTTGGATCTTTGTCTCTGTCAACATCTGTATCTTCATCATTCCATCTAAATATTTCTCCTATCCTCCTAGGCTGCCATATCT